GACGTTTGTGCAGTTGTAAGAACTACAGGTCAAATAGTATTAGGAGACCTGAAACATCAGTATGATTCATCAGATTTCATCTTAAATTTAGTGATTTATTTTCAAAATAAATCCTTATGAGCCCACAGTGATCTGATATGTCTAAACGTACAGCATGATCAAACCACTGCAGTGTGATTCATCCATATTTTGGACAATATATTTTAAACAAATGTTTATTTAAATTAGCGTTTTCAGTCAAGTGCTTGGTATTTCTCAGATCAAAATTCTAAAAATTTGTTCAAACTCCACATCATCTAGTCCCTTGTGCAGATCAGTTTTTCATGCTTTTGAACAAATTGAAATGCTTTGGTACATTACAATTATCTGCTGTTTCCTAAGTTATATTTTCTACACATTTCTATTAGACTTTTTTGGTAAATGTGTCTTGAATTGATGAATTGTGCAGGTGAATCTTGAATTTCACTAATGAAGGGGAAAGTAAAGCGTTAGCTCAACCAATGATCAGTCAGTTCTCTAAAATAGCACAAAGGTGCATCTCATGAACCTTCAACCACATGAGCATGAAACAGCTGTACCGTGTACCATTTGAAAGGAATTGTGACAGAGTAAAGAGCTACGGTACCGGTATGTAAACATCTACAGTATGTGCATACAGTAGCTACTTCACAGCAACATTTTATAGTGATATGTAGTACAGTAATAAGTGAACCGTACCGAGCCGTACCATGCAGTGGAAAAGTGCCATAAGAGTGACTTGTGTATTTTCAATAGTTGTCATCCAAACCACATCCAATAGTTGTCATCAGGACCACTCACTTTAAACATCGGATGAAGTGATTCTTTCTCTTTAATACCGATGATGCTGGATCATTAATAAATTAGTCATGACAAAAAAATGATGATATCCGATGTATTTTTCCATGAGCGATTATAAGGTTACCTAGCTTGTTTGGTAGCTTGTTTAATACCGTAGATTGTTGGATAGTAAGTCACCCACTACAACTAACACGGCGGTAAGCCTGTGTGTGAACTGATATTAGGCTAATATTGTAGATCTACCGATGTGTTGGGTTTTGCTCAATATGATGTTAAGTGGCAGATGTGGGCTTGCTGCAGTTGAATATCTAAATAAGAGATGTCCTCAATCCCAGACGAAACCTAAAATACTATGTGGAGGACGCAAAATAATTAAAGAATTATAATATGAAAACGTGGTGAACCTATTAACCTTAAACACGGTCTCCTTTCTATGTACACATGCTGTGTACACTTATCTATCCTTACAATTACAATTTTGGCTGTATTATTTGTGTCCCCTTCAAAAATTACTCTTGAGAAATTTTATGTTTATTGTCCCCCCTTCTGTTAGACGAAATTTACGCCCTTGCCCATAAGGAAACAAGCTTAAAAATAAATCATACAGAATGAAGTTTTGTGAAAATCTAAAAATGCAGAAAGTTTTGTGTGAGGGGTAGGTTTAGGGATAGAAAATACAGTTTGTACTGTATAAAATTACATCTATGGAATGTCCCCATAAAACATGGAAACCAGTATGTGTGTGTGTGTGTGTGTGTGTGTTTATGTATTTGTGAAAAAAACATCAGACAAATATCCAGTTGCAAACTTATTTAGTTTATTATTTCTTATTTGTAATAGTACCTGCATTAAACCTACTTTAATTCTAGTAATACATTCACATTTATATGATACAGTGTACATAACAGTAAATACATGTAACATTCAGTATTGTTTCTTCCTGCAGAACCTGTGTCCAAATAAACCCAACAAAACATCTGCTCACCATCTCATGCTCCTCATACTCATCTCACAAAGCTCCTCTACCAAGTGCAAGATTCAGTCTCTGGGTATTACGGGTTTCCGATCAACTCCATGTCCAACAACTGAGCATGTGTGATTGTCAGAGACATCCATCTCAGAGATATGCACTGTGATATTGTGTAACACCACAAAAAATATTCTACAGATAAATTGAAACCAAAATGGCACGTTTGTCAAATAATCAAAAGGATTTTATACAAGAAAAAAATGGCAAAAGGGTATAAAGTTTGAAGAACAGTGGCAAATCATGTGACTTTGGGTTTATGGTTGCAGGATTGTCTGATATTGCCCTACAATACCATAAGCCTTTCAGGCTATAAACACAAAACAAAAGCAGTTATCACAAACAGAGCGAAAGTATGTACATACTGAAAAAAGACCTGATATTAATCTCAGGAATTTGTTATACAAAATGTATATTATACTTTGTAAGTGCTACACTCTAATCATGTAGAAAAACAAAAATCATTAAAAAAATCACGGTGACACTTTATAATAACTTTCATTAATAAATCATTAACAAACATTATATAATGCTTAATGGATCATCAGTTCATATATGTTCAGATCAAGCACTTATTGGAAATCTACACATGATTTTAACAGATGTTATGCAATGATTAAAAGCTTGTGTTAATGCACAACACTTCTGCTGCTATTGAGGTGTGATATGGGTAAGGTTAGGGACAGGTTTGGTGGTTTGGGTAGGTTTAAGGGTTGGTTAAAGGGTCAACAGTGTACAGGGGTCAATTTGATTATTATAAGGGAGCACGGTTCAATCTGTTCATATTGTATTGTTTTGATAAATGAACAAGTAGTTTCTTTTTTTTTTTAAATGATTTGTTTTCCCCTGTTTATTTATGATTCAAGGAATATCCTGTTTTAATGATATACTGAAGAGCAGTATACTAATATGAGTGTTGAGGCAATAAAAAAAATTTTTGCACCAAAATTACAATCTGTTATGTCTTTAGCAAGCATTTAGCTAAACTTAACCAGCCACCCTTTACACAAACCCTGTTACATTATCTAAAAGTCCAATACCCGTAAAGATACTAAATGATTAGTAATTGTTTATAAAAATGTACAAATGATTCAGTTTCATCTTTACATTGGCTACTGCAAAAACATGAACAAATGATTAATAAATGATTAGTAAAGATGTGCCAATAGGGTCAATTCAGGTCTTTCGGGACACTTTTTGCCATTAAGATGACTGCTCATAAAGGTATTAATGATTAGTAAACATTTATAAACATTTGCAAATGATGAATAGTTTCCACTTTAGATTGGGTACTGCAAAACATGAACAAATAATTAATAGATTATTTGTTAAGATGTGTAAATAGAGGTCTAAACAACAAACAAAGACCAACGAATGAAGATCATATGAACTGAAAGTTTACTGACATTTGTAAGCATTTCAGTTTACATTAAATAATCATATGTTAATCATTAGGTAATGTTTAGTAAGTTCATTAGTAAACATTAACAAGGACATTATCTCATATGTGAATATATATTAACTAATGATCTGTTAAGCATTATGTAATGTTTGTTAATGATTTATAAATGAAAATTATTATAAAGTTTTACCAAAATCACATCCAGAAATGGAGAATGCCTTCATTTAAAGATACAAATTACAGCGTGTTTGCATTTTTCCAAAAAATGTATGGCCAAAAAGTTGAAAACATTCTTTCCTCAGTATTTAGGCTGACCGTAATATTCAGAGATATTAATAATGTATGCTGCTGCATCGCTTTTCAAACTGAATGAACATCACAAGAATCTATGAATACTGACAATCATGCAGCTAGAGAATTTTAATGTTGTTTCATATCTTTTGCATAAGTACATCAAACATTTCTCCCATCTCTGACCATCTCCCATCCTTGTAAAAAAAATTGAGTTCAAATGTCTGTGCTGGAGAAGTTCAGAAGATCAGCTAGTGCTTCCTGCATCCTCCATTATAACACTCCATTATAAGGCCACTGATATAGACAACATAGAAATAATATGGAACAGTGACAGATGGGCAAATCTCCACACAAACCCTGAGACATTATAAAGCCCTGGAGATTTCTTTTGAATTGATTTCGTCCTGTCATCTAAAGACAACTCTATCCTATACCAATGACAGTATTTAAACCAAATATATCAGTTGCACAAATTGTTTCATTGGATCGCTTCAGTTTTTTGGTATATCCATATGCTGCTGAATCTTAGAGTCTAACATAACAATAAGCAGAAAATATTTATATTCTTTGAGATGTTCTCCTAGTTTCTATGTCCTTCAGTGTTCCCAAACTTTTTGACCATTGAATGTCCAATCATCCCTAAACTTCTCTGATATATCCAGGTTTTCCATGACCGTGGGAACCCTGAATTATGCCTTCAAAAGAGTCGCTTTTAATCACCCTAAACATTCATATCAGTCATCGGTTAATCTTATGGGGATGCTTGCTTCTTTGGTGTGTGTTAATGAGCGGATATTGTGTCTTGTGTCTTTAACATTTTTCTATCTGGGTCACAGACTGCATGGCCAAGCGCTTTTGTCATGGTGATGACCTGAGCCAGGTAGTGACCAGTGTCACATTACCGCTGTAATAAAGAAAAAAAGTGAAAAAACTAAAAAAAGGAAATTGCTATCATCTTTCAGCCAGCCAGACCACCAGGATGACAAAACCTCCTGCTCATTAAATCCATCTAGAATGTTTTGAGTCACCTGCCCAGATTTAGACAGAACACTGATAAAGACAACGTAATAAACATACATCAGTGGTGTCTTTTTAGGACCCTCACTAATACGATTGCACTAGGTTTAGGGTTCCGAACAAACTTGGGCAAAAATTATACATCAATTACAATTTTTGCTATAATTTTTCTCAAAATTTGAGCACAAGACTAGAATGGTAGATATTTGGGGTTTGGCCAATAAACAACCACCCATGGGCAAATAAACTGCAAAAATCTAGTTTACCTTAAGAATTATTATACACTTTATTTACTGAAGGAAATAAGTTGTAAAAAGGCAGAAATTTATATTTTGACCTACATTAAGTAACATTTTGGCTTATGTATAAAGAAAATATATTGTTTAAAAATGGTATGATATAAATAATATTTTAACTTTGCATAAATGTTTTTGTGTGATGATCAACAGTAATTCAAAATGTAAAGTTCGAACCAAACCATAAATAAATTTGGCTGTAACAAATTAGAGTTGTTGTTTTTTTAAGTCGATCCAAATTATAATGTTTTTCAGTGTAGTTTGACACTTCTCTGATGTTTCTTTTCTTCACCATTGCATCGCTCAGCAAAAAAAAAAAAAAACTCTCTTAATCTCTCTGTTACTGGCACAACAAATGATAAGATATGGAAAATACTAGACCTGGTTAACCAAGAAATGCAGTTGATTACTCATGTCAGAGTCATTTTATAGACCCATGATAGCTTTGAGTTTATCTATATGCCAGTATACTTCTAAGCTGACATTCAAATATTCATATTTAAACCACAGAAAATATTGAGTGCTACACAATTTTTTTGTCCAATCCAATGCTCTCTATAATGAGAATGTCCCTCTCCCTAATAACTGACAATAACAAGTAGTAAATCAGGGCTCAAGGTTTAGTTTACAATCAAATTAAGCAAAAAATCTGACAATAGTGGCAGCATAAATCTAGCTTCTTTAGCTCACATGACACAGAAAAACTGTCAATTTTCACAATTTCTACAGTCTTCATATAGAGCGTAGTGATTTCTCATTCATTTTTCTATGACTGATTCTTCTCATACTGTATCTGGTTGTATTTAAAGCACAGGAGCACAACATCTACTGTGTACAAGTGAGGTCAGAGGTCAAACTCTGACAGGATATAATCAGTGGATATGGTTTGTGGTAATGGTACACTCAATGCATAGACAATGACTGAACTGGCCATATTTGACATATCAAGCATATGCATTATGGATGTTACATAGAGGTTCCTGTATAGAGGCAGAAAAATGGAATTAAAGAATGCTAAAAAAAATAAATAAAAACATTTAAACTTATACTAAGGAGGAATAATCTGTAGGCTAAAGCTGGATGTGGTGTGTAGTTTGTATAGTCGTGATGCTGAAATGTGTTAAATATAAAATGAATGATTTTGATTTGATGAGTCTTTTATGGTGAATTCTCTTCAGGAAAGACATGAATATCCATGTTCAAGCCCGTATGGCTTTTCTCAAATTAAAGGAACATGCAAACTATATTTACTAAATTGTGCATTCGTTGAACACAGTTTGGCCATAATCAAGGGTAAAGGGAAACGCCACTTCAGTCTACAGCCTAAAGTTAAGGATATAGTGATACATCAACTTCACAGGTGATACATCAACATCGAAGTATGCTGAAGGCAATGTAAGGTGTTTATTTCGGCATCTACAGCATGGGAGCATGTGTGTGTTTGCAAGCTGTTGTTTTCTCATACGGTAGATGTAGCAGTTGGTTTAACTGTGATGCTCTGCACGATGTCCTCCCTATTGATCTTCTTCAGTGCTGTGAAAAGTGCATCAATGTTAGCCGAATCCTGACTCGCCCAATGAGACAGAAGGGCCTGGATGGGCCTCTCTTCCTGCTTGAAATTAGCAATGTGCTCTTCTTTGTATCCAAGTAGCCCTGCCAGGCTGCACCAATCAGTTTCCTCATTGGCTCCTGACTCCTCCCCTTCACATGTACGATTTAGCAATTTCTCAACCTCCTCCCGTGTCTGTAAGGGCATCGACAGGGCCGAACCTCCATATATCTTGACCACTAAAACAAAAAGAATACATTTTTTGTTTGTAGTAGTGGTAGCAGTTATAGTAGTGATATAATCGTAGAAATTATATAGACATAACCACCATGCAAACCACACAAATGCATGCTAAATATGTAATTCTGTCATGTAACTGTCATGTAGACAGTGCAGCCTGATAGGTTTAACCTAAAATTTGATTTTAACAACTGTACAACTTAGATTGTAGCTTAAAAGTTCTTATTTATTTATATATATTTTTTAAATAATTTACAAATAAACAATCAAACTGTTGCATTGCAGTAAACAAGCTTGCTTGCTCAATATTGAAATAGTCTGGTTCAGTATTTGCTGTAAGCTGATCCCACAGAGTTCCTCTGAAACCCTCCACCTCCCCCAGCTCCACCTGTCTAAGAGCCAGATTTACTAAACAGGGCAAATTAGCGTGAGATCGTAAATCCCATAAAAGTGCCAAAAGGAGTGGAAAGTTTTTGTGGGCAATCTACTATCAATGAGCAAATTAAAGAACACAGACAACCCAGGCTAATTTCCATAATGATCAACGCAAACTACCAAGAGCAGAGCAAATTCGCATCTATCGCAGCCATGTGAAGCTCAAAATTGGTAAAGACATCCTCAAGACAATTGACTTCGGCAAACCTTTCTAAATCACATTGTATTATTTATTTAAATATTTTCCTCCCATAAATTTGGGGTCTGAAAGGGAAACTCCTACAAATGCATATGCAATAAGGTCAGCAGCAGTAACAACAGCAGCTTGCATAGCAAGTACACCAAGATCATCATATCTGTTATATATATATATATATATATATATATATATATATAAGGGTCTGTACCTGTATGTAGAGGCCCCTGGCCCTCCTGTAAGCTCTGACTGTCCACTGAGATACCACTGTCACTGTGGAGTTTCTCTCCCTCAGGAGAAGGGGTCTGACTGGGGTTTGCACTGCACGCTCTGTTATTGCCTCCTTGCTTGTTCTGCTTACAACTGTTCCACCTGAAAGATATCAAAGCGAACATCAGAAGCTTTTATTATCACAATCAGTATTAATTTCTAACCTAAAATTGAAGTGTGACATTTCTACACCACTCTTCCGCCCCCTGCCATTGTTCAGACAAGCTTGTCCCACCCAAACACCCCACTGGCTGAGCCAGAAATGGAGATATTGGACCACTCAAACAAACAATGATTTCAAAGCACCAGGATGTTCATACTCTGAAGGAACCAAAGCGGGTCTACACCCCACAGCTGTGTGTGTTAATAGTTTATGACCCCTTTCCCCCACAACCTCCATCTATGTCTGCTCAGAAAACTATCTTCCTTATTTTAATTTTTATCTTGTTATCAGTCTGCAAAAACATGTAGTTATTATTTTTCATATTTGCATTTGCTGCCTTGATTATTATATTGCTAGATTTGCTTAAGGCCTTGAATGTGCTTCATCAAATCAGAAATGAAATTAATAAATGTTTTTTAATCTGATCTGAGGTCAGTGTCTCTGTTTTACTCCACATAATAAACAATGTGCTCGTGATGGATCAGATGGAAGAACAGCCTAGAAGCATTTTTTCCTTACTTTATAAAAATAGATGAACTAAAGCCTACATAGCTGTACTGTAAGCGGAGATGAAAACAGCTTGGGGAGAGAATAATTCCAGTCCTCCTCACCGTTTAAAGATGATGAAGGCCACCAGGCCCAACAGCACTGCAGCCAGTATGGAGGTGTAGATGGGAATGAGGTTTTCGCTCAGCACAAGTCTCTTCAGCCCAGGGTCAGCCGTGGTCACGCTCTCCATAGGACTGTCAGGAGGAGACTTGTCTGTATACGAGACAACTGATGGAGCAGGAGAAGAAGAATAAGAGGGAGAAAAAAAAGGAGGAAGAGAAGGTGTAACGTATGGAAGAGGAGAATAAGGAAATCTTGAGGTGTTAGGAGGATCTACATCTATTGGAGAAAAGAGACAAAGACAAAGAAAAAGATGCAAAATCTGTTAGTTGCTTAAAAGCTGATGTGAATTGGCATGAGAGATTTCTAAAGCAAGTTAAAAACGCATAACAAATCATGCAGTTGTTATTTAAAAGGAGCCACATAACCATTCATGAAACACAAGCAGAACAAATTTCTACGGGAATTGCTTACTTTTTTTAAACAATTTAAATAAAACTGGTTTCAGAAATGATTTACAAAGAAATTCTCATTGCAACTGTTGCATTAAGAATTTTCATGCAAATCATTCATAAAACCACTTTTATGTAAACTGTGGTATTGAATTGATAGTTGAAGTTCAATACAATAAAAATTAACAGTTTGCACACAAACTCTTTCTGCTTGAATAAGGCCAGTTGTGTTTAAGTTCCTTATTTACTCATCCTCATATTGTTCCAAACATGTATGCACAAAAAAAGATATTGTGGGAAAAAAAGTGTTGACCCCATTGACTTTTATTGTATGGATGCAAACAGTTGAAATATTCTACAAAATTCCACAGAACGTCATACAGAAAAAAAATTATACAGGTTTGGAATGACATGAGGGTGATGACAGATTTTAATTTTTTTGGCAAGTTAGTTATAACAGTAACAGACCTTGATATGGAATCTGTATGCACAAAAAGCTCATTTCCACAGAATTGGCGACGTGATTGATTACTAAATATTTTAGATACTTTGATTTTCTGTTTTCTACTAAAAGAGTGTAGAAAAAAGTGTTGAAAACATTACCAGATTCCATTTAGGTCTAGTCATAAGTTTCTAAAACAATCCCAAAATAAAAAGACACAAAACAGCCCAGAGAATATTGTAAAATTGAGTAAAAGCACATTAGAACTGAGACTGCTTTGTTCTTGACCCTGTGAACTCTGTTCGCTGGCAATCTAAAAAATGATTCTTTTGATTTGATTATCTTTGATTCAATTGGGGGCCGTAATAAACAGGCTTTGTCCTGAGTTAAACCTAATGGACACTCAGCTAGTGCAGGAGACTGTGATTAGATTGGAGAGGTAGAAGTTCGGCCCAAGTAGGACTGGCATCTCCCCGGGCTACTGCGCGCGTGCGTGTGTGTGTGTGTGTGTGTGAATGGGTGGTGTAAGTTATACCATAGACAGATGGACAGACACATTGAAGATCATCAGATATTCTGGCTGTAGGGGGATGGGGGGGTCATTGGGGGTTTGGTTTGGGGAAGGGCCATGCTCCAGGGAATGTTGAGTATGGATTTATTGATCAAAGTACTGCAGCATGGAACATTCTGGAGGGAATTTTGGACATGTGAGCCAGTTTTGTGGCACGCTTAATAATTTACCTCATTCATTAAACAAAAGCAGAGCAAATTTCTGAAACAGTATTGTTGCAGGAATGTGACAATTTACATAGTAATTTTTACAATCAATTTAGACAGAAATTGTGATTAATGAATGTGAATGAATGTGGGTGTTCTTACCCAAATGTCACTACCACGTGTTGTTGGTGGTAGCCAGGATGTTGCTAAGATGATATTTAACGTGTTAATATTTAAAATGCGGCAGTATGCAGTTGCCATAGTGTTCCAGAAGTATTTTCCCTTTCATTTTTTCCATAGGAATCTTTAAAAGGTCTTTATTAAGAACCAACCAACCAGCTATGAGGTGAATCACAATATTGCAAACTCTGCAAACTTTGATTTGAAGCAATAAATAAATAAATAAGAAAGAAAGAAATCTTCACATAAACTATAGATTGTATAGGCATAAACTATAAATGGAATATAGATGAATCTTTATTTAAGCTACAAATGTTAATCAGCAAGCAGAGCAGTAAGTGATTTCTCTTTTTCTTTTGTTCTTTGATTTACATCAGTGACAGGTTTTCAATTTAAAAGTGTCTTTTAAACCTGATGCAGATGGCGTGGACCTGAAACACATTCGATTTTCTCCCAACTCTTTACAGTTATTTAGGACATTGGTTATATAAGACATTTAAGACAAGGTCACTCGCCAAAACTGGGCATTTTGACACAATTTTTGTGTTTGTGTCTACTGAAGTGTGAAAGAGAACTCAGTGCTCTACTGGTGTGCAGTGGCGGAACTAAAGTTTTATACGTGGGTTGGCCTGGAGGTGGCCAAGGCTACTTCAGGGGGTCCATAGACCTTGAAGGAAAATTAGTGTGTAGGGGAGAATGGGGCACAACCTAACACTTTTTAGCTTTCTCTCATTTTTTATGTGTAAATTCACTTGAGGTTCAAAGTATTTTATTATTTTTTTTCCACATAAATTTCACATGTTTAGTACAATTAAATGGTCTTATTTCATTAAGACAATATATACTTTGTGTGTGTGTGTGTGTACCTGTTTTTCTATTCTGGTGGGGACTTAAACCTGAATACACACAGACTCATGGGGACTCGTGTCACGGTGGGGACCTAAATTGAGGTCCCCACGGGTAAACAAGCTAATAAATCACACATAATGAAGTTTTTTGAAAATCTAAAAATGCAGAAAGTTTCCTGTGAGGGGTAGGTTTAGGGGTAGGGTTGGTGTAGGGCAATAGAATATACGGTCTGTAGAGTATAAGAACCATTACGCCTATGGAGAGTCCCCACAAGGATAGCTGACCAGACGTGTGTGTGTGTGTGTGTGTGTGAAAAAGGGAAATGTGACAACATGCCCCATATGGACATTGTAACGGGTTGCAAAATGTCCAATGTTAATTTATACTGTGACTCAACTTCCTTAGAAGTTCTTCAGGAAACCTAAACCTGATGGTAAACCACTTACTTCAAATGTGATGCACACCAGATGAAAAGCACCAAGCCACCATGTTCTCACATTCAAGGCAACATCCCAACATTTAGTCACCAAATCTAATCACCTTACAGGCAAAATGTTCCCTTCAAGAATGAAAATAATGGCATTGATGAGTTTTGCTGTAAAAACAGCACAAACGGAAAGAGTTATATTATTATATCTCTCTATATGGCAGCAAGGACGCTGAGCTCCGCGATTCTTCTATTGTTTTTGTTTGTTTCTTCTGTGTTTTGTCATTCTTCTTCTATAAGTTTTACCAGAGACGAACTCCTTAACATTAAGCAGCACATCCCAGACAACATTTTTTATATAGTACATTATTCAATTTTTCTTTTTTTTATTATATTAGTGTTATATTACATCCCTACTGTGTTATTCCTATGTATGTCTGCACTATCATGTATGTCTGCACTATGTTTGTACTTTCTTCTACACTGGAAGCTCCTGTCGTCAAGTCAAATTCCTTGTGTGTGTAAACATACTTGGTAATAAAGCTCTTCTGATTCTGATTCTGATTCTGATTCTATATGAAGCATAGACTTTATTCAGTCCACAGAAAGACAAATGTATTCTTGAAAATTGTCTATACACACTCTTCCAGGCTAGGGTGAAGTCGTTCATTACATACACACACTCTCAAATATATGAGAGGTTATAAGAAGCCTAACTCAATTCCGTCATTCATTCGCAGTGCTTCACGGGAATGGGTGGATGGGCTAAAATGTTCTTTTGGTGCGATTTGCTTGTTTGAATTATATGATTGGTTGAGATTTCTCTGCATAATCACAGGTAATGTAGTTTCTCACTAGGATCTGCACTGTTAAACATGGTTATTTAACTAATACGACAAAATAATGCAGACTGATGGCTTCAGTAAAAGTGAATACCGTCAGTTAGCAACTTCATAGCTCACAGTAGGTCTGTCTTTAACGGTTTATGAATTATTGTTCAAAATATTTTCCCTTTGAAGAAAATTTATTTCCCTATGAAGAAAGTGATTGTGATTTTTACAGTCTCTTTAATATACTGGTCTCTAGTTTCAGGTCCCTCTTTCAGTGTAAGAATGTGGGATTTTTATGATTTTGTTCAAATCACTGACCTTAAAGGGTCATAGGATGTCCATTTTCCACAAGTTGATATGATTCTTTAGGGTCTTAATGAAAACTCTGTAACATAGTTTGGTTAAAATTTCTCAATGGTAGTGTAAAAAACACCTTTTTTACCCTGTCAAAAACTGCTCTTTTCAGGTCACGCAGTTTTGTAGCATTTTCCTTTAAATGTTAATGAGCTCTGCTGACCCCGCCCCTCTCTTCCAAGCTGCTCTC